GTTTTGAGGACCAACTTGGCCATAAGCAGCACCTTGAAGCTCTACGTTATGTGAAACCCCTGAAGAGAAAAGCCTGATGCTATCACCCAGCTCCAGGAGCTGCAGGGTTATGCAGGAACACCCAAATTCCATGAGACGCCCGAGAGCCACAGCATTTGGCAATGCCATCACACCTCTTCCAATTGCCAAACCAAATCTGCTCCTGGGGGTTACAGATATTGAAGACAATTTAATACAGGAGAAGTTGCAAATCTCCCCTTGGATTTCTCACTCCTTAATTTAAAGCCTCCCAAAATGAGCACTCCCAGGTTAAGGGTGGGAAAGGCTTTTCTCTGCTGATCTGCTGCAGCGCCTGTCCCTTTTTGAACACCTCTGGAGAGAAGAATCTTCCAGTTTAGACATGAGGCACCCCAGTGCGTGGTTTGGGGTTAAACCAGCATATAAAGGGGTGGGAGGGGATGTCCTTGCTACCCCCAAAAGACTGTATTCCCCTGTCCTTCCACCTCTGCACCCCCAGTGGTTGCCACCATCGTCCCTCTGATCAGGGGAGACACATGAGCCAGTCTTGGATGTCCCACGTGCTCCCTGAGCTACCTGGAGGGGTTTTCTCCTACATCTTTTGGGGCAGTGCCTGCCCCAGCCATGCTCCATCCTCCCCTTTCAGCTAACAAGGAGCTGCCCAGGTTATGAGCAGCGTTTGCAGGAAGAACAGAAACGAAACTCAAGACTTACTCTAGGAAAGTCCTTCCAGAAGGGTCACGGAGGAGGACTCAGGGAGGCTCTGTGAGGCACCCACACTCTGCCCAGGGCACCCCGAGCAACCTGGGCTGTGTCCCCACCGTGTCCCCAGCATCCGTGCCCCTGCACCAGAGCAGCTCTGGGGCTTTGTGGCAGACACACCCCCGTGACCGCCCCCGAGCTTCACAGCTTCTGCTGCTGCCTCCCTCGCGCACCAACTCACCGGTTCTTAAATAACACACTTCCACGGGGCCAGATCCGCACGCAGCAAGGTAAATCCAGATCAGCTCTCTCTTTAGGCTCTGCTGGTAATTCCCAGCATGAGCAAAACGTGACCATTACTTGTTTCTGCTTCTCTCAAAAAGGATGGAAGCTGTGCCACCAGCCCAGACCCCGTGTGAGAGACCCATCAGCCCAGCTCCCGTTTGCCATCCTTAAACGCGCACGGATGAGTGTGAGACCTTTACACAACCCTGACAGAAATGAACCTCAGAGCCCCTTTTGTCCGTGTTTGGGATTATCCTCCTCCCTGTTACTGAAAGGAGTTATTTAAGGGAGCCCAGAGATACAGGTTGGTGCTGGAGAGACGTCTAAGCTTTACAGAAATCACTGCATGTGCCTCCACACCCACAGCAGCACCACCAGCACGTGACCCACCTTGGATTTCCTCAGCCCACCAACGCTAAAACAAAAACAAAAAACAAAAAAAGAAACAACCAAAAAAAAAACCAAACAAAAAAGAAATCATTTTCTTTGTACCAGGTGGCTTTTTCAGGACCCAAACGTGGCTTTTCCAGAGTGTCAAAGGAATTAAGTCATTAAAATGTGGATGAGTTTGATGGATTATGAGCTATGAAAGCCTGGTGGTTACTGACTAACAAGGCTGGGAGGTGGAGGAGGGGGGGATGCTTCCTCTTGTAAGGATGTGTTTCTAACAAGACAGGTCAAAAATATGATGCGGATGATAAATTGCTTTAAAAGTTGCCATTAACCCAGCAGTTTTGTGCATTATTAGATTACCAAGGCATCCTCGGAGTGGGCTGAGCAGGCAGCCCTGCTCTGTAGCAGGGCTAATTTGCAGAGTGAGACCTGGGGGGGGTTGTCACGCTCGCTGCAGTGAATCCCCACTCCCAACAAAGGGGCAGCTGCCGGCAGGTGTCCGTGGAGGGGATGGGTTTATCCGTGTTGGGGTTTGGGCTGGGGGGACAGGAGAAAGGGGGTTTTTTATTTTTCTTCCCCCACGCCATAACCCGAATCTCATTGTCTCACGTGGCGTGGGGTCGGTGCAGGGGAAGGGGGGTTGAATTTAAAAAAAAAAAAAGAAACAAAACAAAACCAAAAAAATAAAAAAAAGGGGGAGGGAGAGGGCGGGAGAGGGGGGGAGAAAATAATAAAAAAAAAGTCACATTGGAAAATGATCAGCCCCAACAGGCATGCATGTCTCCCTTCATGCAAGCGAGAAGCACAGCCTCCCTCCTCGGGATGTGTATGGGGACGTGTCAGGCACGGAGGAGCTCAGCGCTGGCCCGGGGCGAGGATGGAGCGAGAACAAAGGGCCACGGCATACACTACATCCAGGGGGAGCAGGGGGCACCCCACCGGGGCTCATACAGAGGGGGACAGGATGGCCAAACAATCACCGAGGGACACGGAAAAGGAAATATGGAGAAGGAAATCATAAATAAATGTTCATAGAGAAAACCAACCAAACTCAGGATAGAGCTAGGAGAGAGGTGGAAAGGCACAGCCTTGCGAAATGATGCGTCTCTGGGAGGGATGCTGGGGTAAAGGCAGGGCGGGCTGCAGGAGCCACTGGCTTTTGCTTTGTTTGCCAGCGGCTCCTCGTGAAATTCTAGCGGGTGGGAACCACCGACCTGCTGAATTTGTCTTCCTCTCATTAAAGACCAATCACCAAGGCTGCGTCTCCCCCCCGCTTCTGTGGCAATGTAATTAAAGAAAAGAGGCTCCCCCCGCCTCCCCTCCCGGCCCCGTCTCCTGGCTTTGGGAGCCCTGACTTCCCTCAGCCCCTCGCGGCATCCAGGCCAAACGGGGAGGTTTTACGGGACCGTTCTGCAGGCCCGCGAGAGGAGGTCTGCTGCAGGCGCAAGGAGAGGTGACCACTACGATTATCATCGCCCTGCGGCCGCAGCAAAGCTGCTCGCTGACCGCAATCCATCCATTCCTCCACGCTTCCAATATTTTAAGGCTCCCCGTGACTTTTTCTCCCAACCCCATAGTTTGCCTTCTTCCTTTTTTTTTTTTTTTTTTTGACCAAATCGAGATTTTATTCAGAAGATGGTGGGCCTGGAGGCTTCGAGCAGGAAAAATGTAGTTACAACATTAGCAGCTGGGACGTTTTTACGAGCCCTGCCTTGCAGGGGTCTAGTGGAGATATTTACAGCGTGCCAGTCGCCGCGGGACCGAGGCACGGCAACTTCTCGCCTGGCAGATGGTGGGCAGGGCACTCGCATGGATGTATACGTTTAAAATATACAGCTTAAAGATTAGAGGGGGATTTTTTAATTTCTTTTTTTTTTATTACAGGTTGGTTTACCTCTTGTTAATCGGGACTTCATAAAAAATAAACAATTCCGCCCCCCATCCATACAGAGGGATCAGTCTGGTAAGGAAGGTGTAATGTTGTAACTAGAATGAATAAGCAGCAGACCCTTCATCAATTTCTCTTTTTTTGATTAATAATGAGGGATTGGATTTGTACACTTTTTTTTTTTTAGCTGTTCTGCGGTAAAACCAAGAATTCTGCATCGGCACAACAGCAATATGGACTGTGCGCTGGGAAGTATGTACACACAGACTAATGCTGAGGGGAGATATGGGATAGGAAGTGGGGGGGAAAAATGTATTTAAAAGCCCCCATATCTGTTCTACGAGGGAGAAAAAATCCACTCACTCAAACCTCACGATGAGGGGAAAGCAAGGAAGAAATCTAAACAGCAGGATACGACAATAAATGGGAAAACAGCAATAGAAAAAGCACACTAGGTTAATATAGGAAAACTAGTTTCTTTATTGAGAGATCGTATATTAGTATTAGTGGAATCGTGTGTAACAATGTCATCATGCACACAATACAAAAAGGCAAGGCCCACCATGCTATGGAAGGGCAACAGAACAAAAGCAGCGTACACTGAGCAGATGTATAGGCTACAGCACATTACATTTCAGCAGGGTATGTCTCTACAGAGAGATTTACATCAGAAACTAGGTAATGTAAAAAAATACAGACCATGCTTTAGTTTTAGTACAAGAAAAAAGGTGGAGATACACAACCAAAGGATATTCGGTACAGAAAAAATTACCCACAAAATAAGAACAGGAAGTAATTTAGCACAGCAGAAAAAAATGTTATCCCTGTTTAATGGAAAACCATTTTGCCAGTCGTCTCTTTCGGCAGCCCGGTTTGTTTGGGTTTTTTGCTTTTTATTTATTTTTTTTGGAGGGCGGGGGGTGTCGCCGGGCGGGCTGTCGGGGCTGTGCCGGCGGGACGGGACACTTGTGGCTGCCGGCAGGGCCGGGGCTGGGGGCGATGCCCGCGGGGACAGGGATGCTGCACCCCCGAGCACTCGCACCCCGCCGCCCCACTCCCCGCCAGCCCGATTCGGGGAACCGCGGCCAATCGCTGCGCTTCCCCTCCCCAAATTTAATGGGCTTTTGGAAGGTTTTCAAGCAGGGAGGTGGGACCAGATGACCCCACCGTGGTGCCCTCCAAGCTCAGCCGCCCCGGGATTGTGGGCTTGGCCGCAATTCGGGGGCGTTTGGCCCCGCCGCACCCCAAAGAGACTCTGCGACGACGACCACAGCAAAACGAATCCACTTAACAGGAATTTACAGTGCAAATGTAACTCAGCTACTACACAGGATGGAGGTACAAAAATGGCTGTTATCGGCTACAGCTACGCTGGGATGGCCTGGTGGCTACGGTGAGGGGTGGGGGTGGGGGAGAGGGTAAATTAAAAAATAAAATAAAATCCGTAAAAGAAGAACGGGAGGGGGGGATGGGGGGAACAGATCTACCGCAGCGGAGTCGGGAGGTGCAGGCGGGAGCGGGGTCCCGGAGCGTGGCGTGTGTGGGGCGGCAGGCGCCCCAGAGCGGGGGACGCCGCCGGGCTGGGTGAGGTGCACTGAGGGGAACGCTGAGGGGCAGCCCCCCCTGCCTGCCGCCGGGGACCCGGGACGCGCCACCCCCCCCTCGCCGCCACCAGCGGCCCCGGGACGCGAACCCGCGTTGCCGGGAGCGGTACCTCTGTTGCGCACGGAGCCGAAGACGGGCAGCACCAGGTATCCGACGTGCACCAGGACCATGCTGCGGCCTTTGTGCC